GCTATATTTTTCGCGTACAGATATTTTTTGCGAGTGGTTAATTTTGCGGTCGGTGAATTATGAATTATTCGGTATTATTCGGTATGAATTATTCGCGTGTTGTTATTGTCGCGGTCGGAGACGCGTTCGCAAAATTCGCGAAAATTGAACCACCGGGAAATGTACAGCGTATACAGTATGTGAGGCTCACGTAACGTTTTTTTTGTCAGAAGCGGATCCGGTCGTCGATACGGATCCGGAAGTTCTCTACGTATCCAGCAAGAAGAACATCGTGCTGTTCGGCGATACGATACACATCCAGTGCATATTCGCTGGAAGGTATGTTTATGTGATGTTCATGTGATGTTCATGTAATGTTTATGTGATGTTCATGTGATGTTCATGTGATGTTCATGTGATGTTTATGTGATGTTCGTGTGATGCTCGTGTGCGACGCTGGTATATTGAAACACAAAGCAAACGCGGTAACGGACGGATCCGTGCATGATTATACTTGATGGTACGTTAGTACGAGATCCTCCCTGCCCACTGTACCGCCGTATAAACACGTAATACGGGTAAAATGGCCGCACATTCAGCGATAAAATTATTATTATTATTATTATTATTATATACACGTAGTACGGGTAAAATGGCCGCACAGAGATGTACATTGTCGTAAACTCGTTAGTAAAGTCGGATGTTTTCTCCCTTCCACCAGGCCGACGCCAGACATCACGTGGAGGCGGGTGAACAGCACCATGCCACCCACGGCCATCTTCCTTAACGATAACTACGAGCTAGTCATCCCGAACGCCACCTTCCGGCATTCGGGGAAGTACGAGTGCATAGCGACGAACTCTGTTGGCACGAAGTCGTACCGGACGAGGATAGTCGTACAATGTGAGTCAATTAAGGATAGAATCACAACATTGTGAAATAATTAATAGCATAGACAGTACAGAGTGGGTCGGTTCATAGTATTAGTATATAGTTCCAGACGAGAATAGTCGTACAATGTGAGTATATAATTGAGTTTTTATGTTTTAATAGTTTTAATATAGTGACTATAGAATCTGTATATTGGGATTAATTAATAGTATAAACATTACAAAGTATATCGGTTCATAACACAAGCAGTGCAGAGTGGATTGATTAATAGCACAAGCAGTGTAGTGTTGGGTGATTAATAGAATAGATAGTACGGTGTAAGTTGATTTATAGTATAACTGGAGTAGGATGTATAACCAGTGTAATACAGAGTAGAACGTTTAATAGTACAAGCAGTGCAGAGTGGATTGATTAATAGCACAAGCAGTGCAGTGTGAGTTGATTAATAGAACAAGTAGAACAGAGTGAGTTGATTAATGTAGTAATTCGTACAACGCGAGTTCATCATAATTAAATAAGCGATACGTTATGAATTATTCGTCAATTTACATCGATTAGAATGCATTCGATGCTTGTTATTTCCGATCGATGGCGCCACCACGAGAGGAGGTTAATATCCTTTCGCTATTTTACAGCAAAGCCGTACTTTATTGAACCGTGGGTTCCATTCATCGAGGGACTCAAGTTCGGCACCTACCAGTTAGAATGCCCCGTCGCTGGAGTGCCCCCCGTCTCCATTCTCTGGTACAGAAATGGCGTCCCTTTCTACCCGAAACCAGGTACGAACGACCACCACGCGTGTTAGCTCTAAAACTATAGCCCCACGCGTTCCCTGCGGCGGAGCGGAGGGCTATAGTTCTAGAGCTACACGCGTCATGTGTACTTCACCGCGTCGTTCGAAGTCATAGTCCAAAGTCATTCGAATGCTTATCAAGTTTGGCCCCGAAAAATAATTCGCCGACGCTCGGAGCTCGGCACGTGAGGCCCACGATAGGACTGCTTCCCCGCTCTATGTAACATGTTCTGTCTACCTCTGTATTGTAGCTATAGTTTACTGACCTTCCTAGAGCGCTAATCCTGTAACAAGGTAATTAGAAACACGTTTGTCGGCGCGGGGAAAAATGTCGCGTCTACTTCACAAGGGTTCACCCCCGATACAACACGCCTCAGTTAATTATGGAAGGTCAATAAAATTTAATAGGTAATTAACCTGTTTGACCGCCTAGTTTGTTACATAAACGTTTGCTAATATTTAAGTTGGGAGCGTTTGTCAGGGCTCAGTAGTTTGCTCCTCTTAGCAGTCACCTTCGTGATAATAAAATTAAGTTCACAAGGTGCCTTGTGATGGTGATGGTGAGAAAAAGCAAACAAGATTATATTCAAGAATATATATTATATTTGTTTATTATTTTATTTAGAGATTATCCACACGCACGCACCCGCACACACACGCACTCGCTGACACACGCACGCACCCGCACACACACGCACCCGCACACACACGCACGCACCCGCACACACACGCACTCGCTGACACACGCACGCACCCGCACACACACGCACTCGCTGATACACGCACGCATTCACACAAACACACGCATACGCACACGCACACGCACGCACACGCACACGCACGCACGCACGCGCACACACGCGCACGCACACGCACGCACACATACAAGCGCATGCAAACACACGCACGCACACAAGTAAACTATAAATATAATATAGCACAAACATCAATTCGAAAATACAAAATATTACTTATATTCTGCATTATTAATTCACAATTTTTGTCACACACGATTGTCAACCATCAGATTCGGATCCGTTCCATCTCATCCGAGGAAAGTTCGGTGATCGGCTGGTGTTTGAGAAGGCCGTACCAGAGATGACGGGTGTCTACCAATGCAACGCCTCCAACATCCACGGCAACATCTTTGCCAACGCCTTCGTGAATATAGCCGGTAGGTGGCGCAGCTCTGTGATAATTTGCTAGTTTTAGAAATCACAACAAGCCATGAACATCAAAACGTCAAAAAAAACTTAAAATAAAAAACAGTCAGGGTTTTGTACATAACGGTAAGTCGAAGGAAACACCAAAAGTTTCCTGCATAGACAAGTTTTCGTTACATAGAAGTGGTTTACTCCTAGTTTCACGATATAGTTGCCACCCAAGGCAAATACCAAAAGTGTCATTCATATGCATTCCATTTTGCCACTTAGGTTTTAACTCCAAACCTGACCTTTACATACAGGTTCTGTATGTACGTGTACGCGAACGCGTTATCCATTATCCTTGATAGTCGAAGATATTCCTAAAACAAAGGATTGTGATTCAACGGATCTGCCCGCAGAGGGCGCGGGGAACGCTCCGGGTTTTGTACGCACAGAAAACCCCCTCAACGTTGCTTTCTCATTACCCGTCATGCAACGTCGCGCAATGTTGCTAGCAATTAATATAGAATTAATAATCATCTTTTCCCGCCATGCAGATTGCCCGATCTGTCCTCAGAGGCCCTTCCCGATATGCGGGAGCGACGGCAACACCTACAAGAACAGCTGTTTCATGAGGATGAAGAATTGCATGTAAGAGTCTAAATACGAGAGGCACCTGTAAGGGTGGTGCACATATACCCCATATAGTATATATATATATATATATATATATAGTATATATTGTAAATATAGCATATAGCATGCGCATGTATGCATAGGGCTGTAGTTAATTGTAATCGATTTGATTATCACGTAGACGAAGTGAATGTGGTGGTTGAGTTGTGATTTGTTGCTTTCAATTTCAAATCAGCTGTTTCGCAATTCAAAGACATTAGCACGCGCAATTTTTGTCATTCATTAGTAAACCATCGGTGGGTTATAAACTAAGAAAGTGTAGCGAAGAGAAAACGTGATTACCTTTGTGATGCAAGTCGGTAAATTATGCGCTATACGAGGGATCGGAAAATTCCCGAAACAGTCACGAACCGAGTACACGACAACTTCTACCTTTGAGCAGACGGGCACCAGGTGCTTAGCCTTAGGTGCTGAGTAATTTGTTGTTAATTTGATTGTTGTAATTTGTTCTGATTTGTAGCGAAGACACGGACATCCAGCCCGTGCTGTGCGGTCCCTGCATCAACACAACCTCGGGTGACGCAGAAGGTATGTCTACAACTATTGACGAGATGCGCGTATATATATATATATAGAGAGAGAGAGAAAGAGAGAGAGAGAGAGAGAGAGAGAGAGAGGAGGAGGAGGAGAGAGAGAGAGAGAGAGAGAGAGAGAGAGAGGAGAGAGAGAGAGAGAGAGAGAGAGA